TTTTCTTCTCAGTCTATTCTGCAAGTCGTCGCAGGTGGCTGAGAGGGCAATATCACGGTGGATCAGGTATCGGAGCGCCCTCTGATGCCGCACCGCTACGTCCTCGGCCATGCCGACTCTGTCCTCCAACTTTCCAATCCTCCCTTCATGTTCGCCCATTTGAACTTTTTATATCTAGCACCGTCTGTTCCAGTCGATCTAGAGACATTTTTGTTTGATTATGCCCTTCTTGATTTTTCCTTGCGGAGATTCCCCAGCTCACCCATCAACGTAACTTCATGGTCCGACTCGCACATGTTGCTATCTGTTGTCAAGCTAGCGCTAGCTGGGCTGGCCGGTCTCCGTTGTTTATCGTTTTTTTCCTTTGAGATATCTTGTTTGTTGGGGGCTTTGTTTCTGGTTGACGAGCTCATCATGCAGGAGTGCTCTTTCTTATTTTTTAAAACGTCTTATATTACTAGTTGTCTCTATTTTTGTGTATAGTCTGGCGGAGCTCCACTTCTAAGCTGCTGCTTCTCCAATGACGTCACCGGAAGTCCTGCGGTCGCTCTTAGCTCGTTCTAATGAAGGTACACACAGTTGAAGGCACAGCTCTTTGCAGCTTGCTAGCTGCTCTTCTCAGATTCTGCTGAGTCACACGTTACTGCCTCCTGGTGCCGCAGAGATTTCATGAAGTGAAGGAGGTTTCTTCTATAAAGCAGCTGTGGGCAGCAGATACTGTGAGAGTCACAGACATGAATACATAGGTCAAGGCAGACTGGTTCACAGGACTCTCCTGTTTTGCCGATCCGGTGCTTGAACAAATAACTCTACACCCCCTGGCCGAAAGTCCCCTAAACTGAAGTCCGAGGTTTGAAATATATATCTCAAATAATGTATGTATTTCCCCCACATAAACATAACAGTCTGCAATGAAACGGCTTGTCTCCTGTGCGCTCCACTTCCTACTTTCTCCTGCGAACGAGATACTTTCTCTTTTTTTTCTTCATTGCCCTCTAGGGGCTTCGTACAATACAAATGCAAATATTTTATTTTAAAAAGTAAAGTCCTTTGTCTCAAGTCATGAATACCAAGTCAAAGTCAAGTCGAGTCTTTTTATCAATGTTAGTCAAGCAAGTCTCAAGTCAAAAATATGCGACTCAAGTCATGTGACTCGAGTCAAGTCATGTGACTCGAGTCCCCCCACCTCTGGTATATACTGTGGTTAGAATATTGCTGTATTACTGTATCAATATAATAAACACAAACGGTTGATAAGTAGTATTTTGTTAACTCAAGGTTTATATTAAGTGAGTTTTTATTGTGTTAACTTGTGTATTTATGCTTTTTAGATTGACTTTCTCTCTTTCTCTGTCCGTCTGTTCTAGAAACCGAAGGAAAGAGAGACGTCACAGCTGTCAGCAATGTGACAAATCCTTTACAACAACTGGAAATTTAAAGAGCCACCTGCTTATTCACACAGGAGAAAAACCGTTCAGCTGTGAAGAGTGTGGGACAACTTTCGCTCAATCAAGTCATCTCAAAAGACATCAACGTATTCATACAGGAGAAAAACCGTTCAGCTGTGAAGAGTGTGGGACAACTTTCGCTCGATCAAGTCATCTCAAAAGACATCAACGTATTCATACAGGAGAAAAACCGTTCAGCTGTGAAGAGTGTGGGACAACTTTCGCTCGATCAGGTCATCTCAAATCACATCAACGTATTCATACAGGAGAAAAACCGTACAGCTGTGAAGAGTGTGGGAAAACTTTCGCTCAATTAGGTGTTCTCATATCACATCAACGTATTCATACAGGAGAAAAACCGTACAGCTGTGAAGAGTGTGGGAAAACTTTCACTACATCAAGTGCTCTCAAAATACATCACCGTATTCATACAGAAGAAAAACCGTACAGCTGTGAAGAGTGTGGGAAAACTTTCACTACATCAAGTGCTCTCAAAATACATCACCGTATTCATACTGGAGAAAAACCGTACTGGTGTGAAGAGTGTGGGACAACTTTCACTCAATTAGGTGCTCTCAAAATCCATCAACGTATTCACGCAGGAGAAAAACCATAGTGGTGTGAAGAGTGTGGGAAGACGTTTTCTCAAAGTATTCACCTTTAAAGTCCACGAGTGAATGCACACTACATTGTTTTGAAGAACTATGAGAGCCATGCCAGCTGTTTCCTCCTCCTGATGTCCTGAGAGCTGTAGTTATATGTTAAGAGTCTTTCTGAATTGAAGTCTCATTGAAATAAAGCTTATTTCATTCAAATGTGTCTTTTCTTCCGTGAGATATCTTTATGGATTTCCTTATGACTCAAGAGTCTGATTTTTAAAAGTGTTTTAATATTTCTGAGTCTGACTCAAGCAACTTAAATGTTTGCTTTTGGGCAAAGTCGTCTGAACATTGTGTACTGTGCAAGTAATGTGGCACTCTACCTTTGTCCATATATTTAGATAAACAAATTAATCCCCATTATTCCATTCAATAATTCATATTTCACGACTCACTGTTACTGTAGCACTGACCACTTTATTGTATAAAGTGCATTCAATTGAAAACACCAGTTTTACAGTTAAATTATGTACATCAAAGTATTTACATATAATAAATAGATAATTAAAGCCTACAATATCAGAGAAATTTGAATGTAACAATTGCACTGATGGCTCTGTGTTTTGTCACCAATATTATATTTTAGTTGGCACTGCCTCCACGGCTATGGTTATGGCATGATAGGAACTGCTCTGTATTCCTAAAGTTTGACCTTTCTGGCAAAATATTTAATTGATTGAGTATAAATGATGGCAACAGCATAAACTAAGGTAAACACAGGTACAAAAGCTCAAGTGGATACAAATCAGATGCTTTGAAACACATTCACTTTTGTAGATCCCAGGATTTATTTGTCATCAGCAGGTATGAATCAAATGTTAGGAGACTTCTTGTAAACTAACATTTGTTGTTATGCAAGTCAACAACAACGAGATCTCACTCCACTGCAGACGAAGAACAGGAATGATCCAGCTATTGAACCCAGTTGGATTCTTTAGGACTTTTCCTGAGCAACCATTCACCTTCATTGACTCAGTATAAAGGATGGCAACAGCAACAACATAAACACAGGTAAAAAAGCTCAAGTGGATACACATCAGATGTACAATTATGTACAGGGAGGCTGTGGCGCAGTGCGTTGGTGTTGGGATCAGGGGAGCACAGGTTCAAACCCCACTGCAGTCAGCATGTCGTTGTGTCCCTGGGACACTTCACCCCACAGTATTGAGTATGTAAGTCGCTTTGGATAAAAGCGTCGAACATGTAATGTACATAAAACAATTTACATTAATGACGTACATATATTTACAATATACATAATACATATAAAACTCAACATGAAAAATAAAAATGATAACAGCAAGTTGAAAAATATTTAAATGACTATTTACAATATTTACATAGCAGCTGTAACATGTTGGTAACTGTTGTAAACTGTGTTCTCTAGACACTTTGATGGAGACATCTTCTTCACAGGGCAGAAGACTTTGCGCCTGTACTTTTTGTGCCCCTGGGTGGGTTGGCCACAGCACGTGCACAACGGCAGCTTTTGAACACGGGACACTTTGGCTCCTACTCCCGAGGGCTCGTCCATCCCCTTGCGCTTGTCAAGCGTGGACCTTGCCCAGGATGAGGGAATGCACTCGAGAGTAGTGGGGACAGACACATCAGCAGACGGGGTTGCCTGAATGGCAGGCAGTAAGGGCATTGAGGAGGGGCTAGCAATGGCTGGGGTTGGCTGACTGGCAGGCAGGATGGGGCCAGGGAAAAGGGAGGGCACAGGTCTGGCGATGGTACTGGTGGCAGGCAGTATGGGACGTCCAGCAATGGCAGGCACGATGGGCCTCGTGGAGGGGCCAGCAATCGCCGGATTGCTGTGGATGGAGAGGGGGAGGGCAAAGGGCTGGGGTTGGTGGCAGTGACACAGCTGGCAGTGATATCTGAGGGTGTGAGAGAGGTATGATCATGTCCCTCCTTCCCTTCAATGACTTGGTCCCTGCCGTGCTGGGTGTCGGCACGTGCTGCATCAGTGGGTAGTCTGGTGGAGGGAGGACTGCTGGCTGGTGTGGCGCTGGAGGCAAGTGGGCAGAGGAAACGGAAGTGCTCTTTGAGAGCATCGCTGGCTGGTTGGTCGCACGCAGGTTGAGGAGACATTCTTTAGCGCAGATAAAGTCACGCACCGTCTTAATGTTTATCTTTGGCAGCGGAAAGCCTGCTTGAGACAAGACGGGATCGTCCACCAAAACCCGGTGCTGGATCCTCTCGTACGCCTTCAAGATAGTGGTCTTCTCTGGGCTTGTGCGAGAACCCTGTGGTGACTTCAACCACAGCAGTTTCACCAGCGTGTACATAAGCCTGTTGTTCATTGCACTAATGTCCTGTTGTGCTGGTGTGTAGCGAATGCCCATCTTCACGCGCTGTATCACAGCAGCATCGACAAGGTTGTGCCGTTTAGAGCGGCAGTACAGGGTGTTGCCCCAGTGCGTTCTGTACAGCTGGTTGAACTTCTGCTGCTGTTTGTCGTGGTCCTCCACTGCATTCCAGGCAGCCAGGATCGTGTTCCTCTGCTGGGTGACGAGGGACAGCTTGTCACCTACGAGACCCATCTCCACCAGCAGCGAGCAGAACCTCTCCAACTGCTGGAAGCCGGGAAGAGGGTTTTGACTGCAGGCATCCTCCTGTTAAAGAAATGACATGGAAAATGTGGGAAGTTGAAATGGATACATTGACCACTGATACAGTGCATTTTAATTTCATTCTAGAAGACACCAAGTCACTTACAAAAGCGGGCGGGTTGACACGTGGAGGTTTAGTCTGTGACGAGTGTGATGTGGGGCAGGATGGCATCCTTCACATTGTCTCCCTCGCAATGTGACTCCCCGTCGCTCTGGTACCTCGGGATCTGGAGTAGGCTGCCCGGGCTGAACCACCTCCTGGTCTGGACCGGGGCCATCGTGGATGATGTCCTCCCGTGAAAAGGGCCCAGATTCGGATTCACCATGCTCTGGCTGAAGAGGGATTCCAACCCCAGCAGCTCGTGGGAATCCACCTCAGCGGGGGCCCGGAGATTCTCCTCTACAGTCTCTCCAAACAGCTGCTGACAGCGGGTGTTGAGGCGGTGGATGAGAGGCGCTGAGTAGGTCCTGTGACGCCGTCCCTTGCCACCAAACACTGCGTCGGAGCTCCTGTCGCAGTTCCACCGTGCGATGCCACTGATCAGGTAAACCTGATATAGCCGTGCTGCACAATGGGGACCTGAGAAGAGGAGGGCAGCAGAGTAACGGAAAGCTTTTATTGTTGTGTAAATGTTAGTGTTTTATTGTTTACACCAAATCCATCATTAGATGCAACACAAAAGAAAAGAGATGGGCAGGCAACGTGTGCCATCTACAGATCAGCTTAGATATGTTGGTTATTACTGAGCTTGGGAAATGCTTATCTGCATCCTGGAATAACACGTAGGACAATTTTGAAGCGTACCTTATTTGTATGCACAGGCCAATTCAAAGGATTAATGTTCTCCTATTTGACATGTTCTATTTCAAGAGGATTCATTTGCTTTTAATTCCAACTGCTTTCCAGTTCCTACGCTTTTTGAAATTGTGCTTTTATTGCTTTTTATTATAAGACGTGTTTATTATTAGTGCCCGAGCACGGAGCGCTAGGACCCAACGGCGTCCTAGCACGAAGTGCGAGGAACCTATTGTTGTTTGCACATTTCTGCAAACTCCTCCTCGGAAAATGTTTGGAAAAATTCCAATCCAGGAGAAGTTCAGCGCATATCCAATGTCATGCTACACTGAGAAGGAATAGTCCTTCGCTCAAACGGCTCGTAGGCTAACGGAGAATGTACCATTTTTGACCATTTATATGTCAGATAACCTACTGACACCTGCCTGTCTGCCTGGCACATCAACTCTCACACACACACACACACATACACACACACACACATACACACACACACACACACACACACACACACACACACACACACACACACACACACCTACACACATTGTACAACAAACACACACAGCTCCTAAAGCATATCATAAGTATCAGGCTACAGCCCTTGGCAGCGGCGGCCGGCCCATAAGGGCTGCATATTTTTATTTTTAATGAACAAGGTAAATATCATACAATTGGTATCAGTAAAATGTATAATCTACAATAGCATCTCGTTTAAAATGGTGTTACGATGTCTAAAGTTACTGATAAGTCACATGTTTTCTGCCCGTGGCATTAGTTTATCATTACCGGGCGGAGCCCCCGAGACAAACAGCAGCAACCAGCACGTTGCAAAAGTCTCAATAGTAAACCTAATTTCAGCCAATCAGCGCCGTCAAATATTTTGGCCACGAGGGCGCTCACGTTGGCGCCCACGTTGCTTACGTGACGTGAGTTGTTTTTTAGACTCGTGAGTGACCAAGGTGACGCAGTATTTAGAATGGTGTGCAGGTGGAGTCGCCGGACCTCGGTCCGCACCCAATTCCGTGCAAGAGCTACTCTCCAATCCTTTCCAAAGGAGAAGTTTGGGAGATAAATTGATACTTAAAGACCTTGGACCGGACCAACCCGATTTGTATATATCACAGCAAGCTCGTGAAAAAGACAAAACGTATCAACGAGGCTAGCTGGATGCAAACAGGTAAATGCTATCTTTTGTTTCCCATGCTTGCTCTTCAAACAGCTACGAGATACAGATACTGTTCAGAAACTAGACAAAAGTTAAACAAGTACAAACCACAGACTGTCTGTGTCATGGAGAATACAGTCGCTGGTTGATTACATTTATTATAGCGCTTTTTCAATGACTGAAAGCGCTTTTACATATACACACATTACACATATATCATACATGCAATGGTCACTGTGGACAATACCCACAGGAGCAAGTTCAGGTGAAGTGTCTTGCCCAAGGACACACCGGCTTTACAGACGCAGCAGCGGCGGGTTTCACCCCTTGATCATTGCACAGCGCACTGCGCCACACCGTCCATCGAGGTCATCGAGGCGCTTTTACAAGTACACATTGATATCATACATGTACTGTGGACAATACCACAGGAGCAAATCCGGGTGAAGTGTCTTGCCCAAGGACACAACGGCCTGACGCAGTGGCGGCAGGAGCGGGTTTCGAACTGGAGTTCCCCAGCACTCCCCCTTGATCTGATGATCGGATGCACAGACCACTGCGCCACCCGTCCCTACAA